AATTAGAAAAGCAATGCCATGCTCAATGATCACTTTGAAACAGTTAACAGAGGACACGTCAATTTTCCAGTCAAACTAGATAAATCTGACAGGGCTTTCTACAGGAAAAATGCAAAGGGCAGAGTACAAACAAAGAAGAGTACAAGAAGAATGTGAAATCCACTCTCGTAACTAAGTTGAGAATTGCAACTCTACCCTTTAATTAAAATTTCTGGTAATAAAACATTAAGGGTCATTATTTAGCAAAATTTTGTAGAAATTAAATACAGTCTATGCTCATCAAAAATGCCACAAATTTTAAAAATACCTCAAGAATTTAAAAACGTTATAAAATCTGACTCCAATAGTTGTTAATTTTCCATTTCACTGCTGACAGGCTGCAGAACCTCCTGGGACAAAGCTGTCTTTAAGCAACCTCAAGTATTCAAACCCAATATATCTGCAACAGAGGGAGCAGCAACACTAAAGCTTGTTTTTCTTCACAAAGGGTACAATTTTTTGCTAGTCACTGTGTGAAAGAAGGAACTTCAGATAAGCAAATACTTAAGCAAATTTTGAATATGCAACAGAATTCCACAAGGTTTCAAAAAAGTGCTATGACTTTCAGTATTGTGGCGACAGACAAAGTATTGTCAAGTTTGGTGTATCTGAGAGACTGACAAAAAGGTTTTCCCTGAAACCAGCAAACTGAAAAATGTGAAGCTTCCATTTCTCATTCCTCTATTCTACTTTACCAACTTGAATCTGTATTTCTTCATAGGGCTCTACATTAATATTTGTTGTGGTGCAGCTCACATATGCAGCAGTATTAACATCTTCACCTCCTCCAAGGAGACTGGATTCTGTAATTTAGGCTACACAATTTTGTGACTGTAAAGGTCACTTACTAGTTAAAACCTACGTATTTTAAGCACTTCAATAGATACAACTCCCCAGAAGAGGAAACATTAGTGATTGATACGTACATGCCACTATGTCAGAGACTACATGAAGTCACATTACTGAAACCAAAACCAAATACAGCACAAGTGCAATGCAGGGGAAGAGGGGGGCGGTGTGGCTGAAGGATCAACTGAGCAGCCTTGAAGGAAATGCATTCTGATAAAAGAAAAGGTACCCAAACATCTTAAAACATGTTCCCTCCCCCTAAGACTCTTAAAAACACAACAATAATAAAAAGATAAATATTAATATAGAGCCCATCTACCAAAAGAGAATTAAAAAAACCTAAATTAAAATAAATTTAGGGGCCTTCACCAAACTTGCTGCAAGTTTGGGGACATAAATATCCAACAGCCATAAAGCTGTGAAAGCCCCCAGAATGAATAAAATAAATCCCACTTGCCTCAGACTGAACAGGGCAACACTGAGACTCTGCCTCAGCCTGTCCTATGGCAGGGCTATAGGAAGAAGAAAAATTTAAATTTTAGAAAAAACATGACCCAATTAAGTGAAAGACATGCATTCAAAGTTAACAAAATTCCAGTGATCAAGCAAACACAAGAAAATGATTGCTACAGCACCTATTTGGTTAGGCCCAAACAAAACTTTTTAACAGTTGGTGGCTATTTCTCAATTGGACAGTTTGTTTTGCTTTGTGTCTTGATCAATGGAACACAAGTCAGTTGTCTTGGGGCATTTTTCCCATAACTGATAGTATTTACTGTACTAGTTCACAAGAAGTAGAGTTAAAGATTCCATCAGCCACTGAAAATGTTCACCCTCACCTTAGTATTTATGTAGAACCTAGACCAGTACAATTATTAAGACATTTATTATTATTTTTAAGCGTTTTAAATTGCAACCCCAGCTCATGGACTGGTATATCAGAGTCTCAATCGAACAGAAGAGTTAAGTGCCCTTCTTGCCATTTACAAAACTGAAGTAATGTTGACATTTTATTTTTTATCTTGTAGGCAGAATTCTTTGATTCCTATAAAATAACTGCAGGTTATATATTTCATTCAATTTTATCCAACTTTTAAGAAAGTAAGTTCTATGTAAGTACTGTTCAAGAGCTCCATACACTAAATTAATTGCAGAAACCATAGAAGGCAGATGCAGCTGAATGTGTTTCTAGAAGCTTGTTTGTATTCTCCAATGCATGCCCAGAGCGAGGAACAGTTATCCACTGAAATTTAGATATACATCCCAGCCTCAAATTTATTATCAGCACCTGAAAATCTCATATTGGGAGGGGAAAAAAAAATAAATCCCAAGTTCCAGAAGAATACATTTTTAGTCATAAGCCAGCTAAATTTTCAATATTTTATTTAAAGCAACCTTTGCCAAAGGCAGAAAGATATTCTAAAGGCAGTACAAAACAGTCATATCGAGACTTCTGAAAAACTAGCCCGGGCTTTTTCAAGGTTCTTTCATGCCAGTCTCATCCCTTATGCTCCAAAAAATCAGTAGATACAAGATCAGCCTCTCATAATGATATTGAGAGACCTTGCGTAAAACAATTTAGAACCTTTTAAACAAGTCCTAGACATCATGAATTTAAGTATTTTGCTAAACATTTTCCCATCTGTCTCTGAACATTTGCTTGCAGTCTGTTTTTCTGTATTCAACATTTGCTTTACATTCCAATTTAAAGGCTGATCAAAGTCCACTTGCAATTTTTAATTTTACTGTAAGATCTGTCATGGAAAATTTAGGCAACAACAGGAAAACAAAGCTTCTGTCTGCGTAATTACGTCACTAGAGTCTTGCAACAGATATAAGAGAGATGCTTTTCTGTAATCATAAAGACTTCTGCAACACCCTTCTGGGGAGAGATTAGCTAAAGCAAAGTCTGCAAGGCTGCATTGCATTAGGGATTTTGCTGGCACAGCCATGTTGATTAAACGTGGTACTGCAAACCAAGCTGTAGCCTTGAAACAAGTAATTACTACATTGAAAGTAGTTTTCCTCTTTTTGTGAAAACGCACCATAAATCCAACTCTCTGAACATTAAGAAGCAGTATCCAAAGAAATGAAGGCAGGGACCAACAGACGACATATGCACTGAAATACCTGCCTGGTTACAGCAGAGTACACACGAGACACAAGAGTAACTAAAGATAGCCACATCACAGCTCTTACAGCACAGAAATGACAGGAGCAGGAGATTAAGTATCCACGTGAAAAATCATTTCACCTGCTTGCCAAAGATTATTGGAGTCCCATACGAATAATACAAGGCAGTACGTAGTTGAGGGATTATCATAACGTTACTACTAAGGAAAGTTCAATCTTAAAATGCATCCAAGCTGTAAGTCTATGTAGCATTAGCTACAAAATGGTACTGTTATCAGAACAGTAAGACATTCACTATTTAAAAGAGGGAAACTTAATTAATACAACTTCCAGAATATGCTGAGTTAATAATACATGCAGTAAGGTTTTCAAGCATTTATCCCAGGAAAAGCAGGGATCTGAAAACAACATACCAATGAGTTATGGAAAGACACCGAAGGGAGAAGGTATTTACTTTTACTAGGGGCAGGAGGGCCAAGCATCCTTGTAGCAGCAATATGATCTTCAGAAAAAGCAAGAAGTTCTATAGTTTTAAAAGCAGAAGTTAAGATCAATTTATAATGTATGAATTTTATATGCAGTGTTACAAAAAGGATGAATGTTAAGACACTAAAAATCTCTCCAGTGTTTTGTTTTGTTATCATCCTCATTAGATAAACAGAAGAAAAAACAGAATATAAAAGCATTGCCTAAGCAAAACAGTTTTATCCATTAGACTTATGTATAAAGCAAGATGAAGAGCTAACAAAAGATGTGACATCAAGGCCCACTCAGCAAATTTGCAAGCCAAATACTGCACATCTGACAGGTGATCAGCAGATACCAGTGATCAGAGAGAACTGCTTCTCAACAGAGGCTTGGACTTATGGTCATAAAACTGCCAAACACGTCAGAAAAAGCGCCTGATAATTCTTAATGGTTAAACCAAGGCCACTCAGTTGCCATTAGAATGTACTGGATGCTCTAGTGCTTTTATGAGCCATTCCATGACCCCAAGTTTGCAGCTGAGAGACTATGTAGTATTTTAGCTGTACTGTATTTCTAGACTATTAAGAGACAGTACAGAATAAAGCCACATGAAGTATATAATGCTGCTAAAAAAAGCCCAAGACTTTCAAGAAAAAGAGCCAAAATGCTCTGTTATTATAATTAAGTGAAAAAACTCCACCATCAACAAAAACATCCGTGGAACACAAAACTGACAGGAAAATGCTGATAATCTTCCTAACCTACCCTATAAGAGGAGAAATCCCCATGAATTAAATTGCACAGATAAGGCTTGAGGCTGGAACATGTATTTAAAGTTGACCTGCAAAAGAAATATTAACCACTCCTTTCCCCACCCCATCCAGTTGTGAAGAGAACAGGGAAGCTCTCACTTCCCTCCTCTCCAAAAATTCTCCCTCTACATTTTCACTCTCATCAGAAATAGAGAACACACTAACACAGCACTGTTAGACATTCAGAGAATTACAATCTTGACAGTAATTTATCACTCTAGTCTTATAAACAGATGACTAATTAATGTGGGGAAGACCTCTCCGATAACTGTGACTGGGAGAACTGATTAAAAGGTCTCTTACTCTAGACACTTCCATTAAATGGCTCAAGAAACTCAGCCAACATCTGATCATTGCACACAACAGCTGGTTCATATTTTAGACTGTTCAGATCTGAAATTCTGAACATCTAAAGTAAAAATACAGCATATAACACATTACTCTTGCCCCCCTGTGTCTCCTTTGCATGCTGAGAAGGCCAAGCTACTTTTTCTCTTTTGCAGGTCAACTTCAATACAACATCAACTGGAAGTCACTCACCCATGTGACATGCACCTAAGCTTCTAGAAATCTTCATCTAAAAGGTTCCTGAAATTCGTATGTATTTGCATATTAAAAAGAATCAGTCAAAGAATGAACTAACAGGACACATCTGGCACTAGGACGCATCTTAGAGCAATCACTTTTACATCTTACAAGTGCCAGGACTCAAATAATTTAAAATTTATTGAGGACAAGAAAGCACAAATAAAGAAATATATGCATTAAGAGAAGTTACAACCAAGAGTTAACATGTGCCTCCTGCAGCCTCATTTTTGCGGAGTGAGTTAATAAGTGTACAGGTCTTTGTCTACTCAGACGTGCAGCTAAGGAGTGACTTAATTTTAGAACAAGGAATTCAGATTTTACCAAAACAGCACCAGTAATTGTGTTCACTACACCAACAGCTACCACGGCATGCATCTGTACAAACCTTTCAGGCAGTTGTCCACAGCTGGTCATGAATAAGAAGGCATATAAATTTTTATCTTCTTTTATTACAATGAAGTTTATAACGGTACAGAAAAGTCACATGACCTTAGTGGGTCAGTTTACTTAAACTCTGAAACAGGAGGAACTCTAAATACATTAAATATTGTTACAAGTTCAGACTTAAATGTACAAGTAGTTGGGAACAGTTACAGCCCTCACCAAACTACGTTGGGGACATGAAGTCCAACAGCACTTGAAGTGCTGTGAAGGCATCATTTCACAAATAGCAACGTAACGTTACAGAACTTGCCTTTAAGGTGGTATGTTCATGTAATTCCAGCGCCTTCACAATTTAACGAACCATATTTACTATACTTCACTTCTAAAAACCTAGATGAAACATGAAAAAGAAGCCATACAGTATAAATTGCAACATCAGGAAAAGTTCCTGTTATTATTCCAAATAATTTTTCCCATGTAAAATAAGAATGTCCAATAGCTCCTTGCATGTGGGAAGATACTTATTTTTTTAAAGTCACAATGAAGCCTTAATTGACGGAAGCTCGGCTATATTAACAGCACAAGATGAGAAAAGGTTTAATCTCCAAACCTATTAGAGCGTGTGTAGTAGCATCAGTAGCGGCCACCTTGCGACATTACAGGAGGTCTCATTCCCATTGGAGGTCGAGGAGGTCCACTTTGGTAAGGGGGCACCATTGGAGGTCCCTGACCGTACGGAGGCATCGCTCCAGGAAGATATCCTGGCATGCCCTGGTGATGAGCACCATACTGACCTATAAACAGAACATTTAAGATGCAAAGAAGAATATTTGGGTTTTTTTCAATAACGAGCCAAGTTGCATTTCGTGAAAAGCTTCACATCACCCTCCCCATACTGCCACTTCAGGTTTCAAAAAGGTTTACAGCACAGACAAATCTTTCCAAGAAAAGAAAGCTGGGAAACTTATAATTACCATGGGGTGGCATGGGAGGTCTCATTCCTTGTTGTTGTGGAGGAATTCCGGGCTGTGGTGGCATCATACCTCCAATTGGTCCAACTGGTGGAGTAGCCAAAGAAGCCTGTCCTGGTCGAGGAAGATTACGCTGATATTTAGGCAACTGTGCCCTTCTCTCTTCCTAAAACCAGGAATAGACAACCATAATATATTGTAAGGCTACAGCTCACCAAAAGTAAAGCAAATAAAAATGTAACAAAGTAGATTACAGGTACTGAACTATTTCAATTACCTCACCAGTTCAAAGACTATTAGTAACATCACACAGCAGCATTTGTATTTTTCCCCTTCCTTCAAAGTTACTGTATTAACACTGGCCAATCTAGCATTTTCCACACAACATAAATTCTCTTCCACCCTCAGCTGAAGAAAGCCTTTTCCTCATAACTGGTTGAAACAGAAAAGCCAAACTCAAATCTAAAGATATCTGAAGTGAAATTAAGGTTCATTTGTTTTATCCATAAATTCCATATTTCTGACTGCTGTAATAGCACCAAGACGACTTCAAACTGTTAAGTTTTTTGTCCTGTGCTAATTAGCTGAATCTAACTTTAAGCTTAAGTCACATGCAGAAGAAGTCCAAATTATATTTGAGGTTGAGTAATGTCCTATCACTAACAAAAATAAAGCTCAGATCTGCTGCAGGATCATTGCAATATGCCAGTCATCACTTTGCAACTGAAGTTTATTCAATGCACGGTTCTGTTACATTAATTCTGCACAGTCTGCACTCTCACCATTACTAAAATACATATAATACAGAAGAAATTCTATTTAATCAGCTGTATCAGCATAAATTGCATTTTCCAGTAAGGCAATGAAAATATTTTAACTTACCAGTGATATATCCTCATCTGGATGGATCAACTTACTGGTTGCACTGGTTGTTGTGAGGGTAGCAGGCTTACTTGTTATAGATGTAGCTGGTTTAGCCGCAGTGCTGTTTGTCGTGCTAGTGGTTGAGGCTGTAGACTGTGTGTAAGCAGGGAATGTAGGTTTTGGGGGTTCTGTTGTTGTTGCAGGTGTAGAATTCAAAGGTTTGAAATCAGTACCAACTGGACCTGGAACAGCTGCTGCAGCCTGTGAAATACAGAGATAGATCAATATTTATTTCTCAAAACAAATGACGTCTGTTAGACCTCTGAAACCTTCCAGTAAGATACATAATTAAAATAAGCTTGACAAAAGTAAAGTTCAGCCTTATTGCATACTAGAGCAACTGAAAACAAGACAAAATAAACCCCAGTATATACACATATATACAAACACAGACACACGAGAAAGTCTAAAATTTGCAGGTCAAAAGCCACAACTAGAAAAAAAGAACAACAACAAAAAAACCTCCCCACTATAAAAATTTTTTATCTCAAATACTGAGTTTGGTAAATGTCTAAATCTTTCCTGAATCACTGTTTTATTAAAAGCCTGTAATTATAAATTCATTGTTCTCTCACTAAATTATTAGCATACCTTAGCAACCATTAGTTTAGAGTACAGCTCAAAGTGTTAGTACTCCTTAAAATCAAGTATTTAAGAAATGCTTTAATTAAATATTTAAGAAAGCTTTATTGTGTCAGGGGTTTTGTTTTAAGCGTTCTCTCTATAAAAATACTGCACTATTTTCAAAGTACTATGCCTCTCTATAGAACTTTAACCTTGCTTGTGAATGAATAATCAACTGAATGCAGACAGGAGGTCCACTACAGGTTCCAGCATCTCATCTTTCCTACTTTTTTCCTAAATTACAACTGTTAGACAAGAAAAGTTTGCTTTACCAAGCTTTCTCTGAAGACAGCAATCTCCAAAGCAAGCTTTAATTTTGAGAGAATGTTTCTGTTTCTCCTCACTGTACATTTACAGTTATCTGAACTTTCCAATCAAAACAAAATATTTCCATTTCTTGCACATAATGCAAATTACAAAACTCCCTACATTATGATGTACCGTACTAAACAACATAAACTAAAAAGCCTTCACCATGCATCAAGCTAACCACTGCCCACTAAAATGCATTTAACTGCTTTCATGCTTTTTTAACCCTTTAGAACCAGGATGTACATTTCATTCTTTCACGCTAAGAAAAATTGGGACACTTTGACATGCTTATTTCTAGTAAGATGAAAGTCACAATCAAGGACTCTGCTATTTTGCCAGAGAAACATAATCAGGAACGAAACAGAAATTATCTGAAGATGCTTAGTCAACTTTAGGTTTTACAGAACGGTCCAAAGGGTTAAGGTGCAAAGCAATTTGTTTTTAACTGTGACTTCCTTCGTACTTGTGCTGTGCTAGGAAACAGAGCGTTAGAAGATGCTGACAGACTTTCTGAATTGGAGGAAGCTGTACTTGAGCTTGTGACAGGTGTCCCCATCTGTAGCATAAAAGAAAGGAAACAGTGAAAAGTCTCCAAACAAATGGGTGGAAAGTAGCCAGATGAAAGGATTTCTTATACTAAGTCCTTTTCATGAAATTACTGTGTTTTTGTAAACAACTATCTTCCCTGCAGAAGTCCAAAATGCAAATAGTACACTATGCAGGTTTCTGCAACATACCTGAAAGCAAGTTAAAACTTCAGGACTTAAACACAGCACGTGCAATCAAAGGGCAGAGTTCATGAGCCACTATCAATTCCCCATTTCCCTCCCCAAAACATCTAAATGAATTTTTACTACCCTAACTAACTCCTGAACTTCTTAAAGTAAAAAACCTCCTAATTCAGGCAATGTTTAACCAGTTTAACGAGATTACAGAACATATTAGTCCATCTAGCAGTATAGAGCCCATTATGAAAAGGAGACAGTAAGTCATGTCAAGATTTATACTTTGGAAATTTTAGGTAAAAGTTCTAAGCAATCAGATTCCTGTAGCCGACAAACACACCCCTTCACCCATCCAACACACTCTTACAAATGACAGACTAAAGGGATTAAAGAAAAGAGTGATTTGCCTACTCCTTTCTTCCCCACGCGCTTACAGAACTTCTGTCTGGTTTCATGGCTGTTATAAGACAAACAAAAGAATCTTTTAAAATTCATTCAAGCACTACACTGATTAAACTTAAGAATCAACACAAGCAAGAAATATAAGCAGTCATTACTCAGGCCTCCTCAATAATAAAGAATAGACTGTTGACACAGTGGCAATTTGAAGAATGTAACAATAGATTCCAGGCTATGAGATACCCTACCTGTCCAGCACTTGGGAAGAGTGGTTTAGTAACTGGAGGCTGGGGAGTAGGTGCTGATGCAGCAGGAGCTGGAGGTCTGTTAAGAATGCCTGGTGCTGTAACAGGCTGTGCTTGGGTCATTGGAGGCATCCCAGGACGAGGACCAACAGGTGGTGGCATACCTACAAACCACAAAGAACCAGTAACAGATCGGGTTGAAGGAAGTAAGAACACTCCTTTAGAGGATTCTGTTCACAGCATTCCTGAGAAGAAAGTCTTCCCCAAGGAAGATGTGTGTTTAAGGCAACAGTAAAATAAAACACGACAAAGGGTAATGCCAGCAGTCACCAGTGAATGCCCATGCACAGGCAGTAACCTCAAACACTTGAGAGAAATACTAAGTTGTGTCTTCTACTAGAGCTTCAATGATGGAGTTCTTTATGCTCTCCATAAATCAATGCAATTAAGGCAGTAACTGTTTCCAACACAGCACCAATGCTGCCAAGTATGTGGACAAGACTGTTACAAAACCCAAAAGATGCAGCCATTATGAACAGTATCAGAACTCGGACCCAAACACAGCTTTGCTGTGGTCTTCAGCACAGTGGAACAGTGACACAAGGCTACCTTCTGTAGCCTGTCATCACAATACACGCCCTTCAAACGTGTGGGGCTCAAGGAGAGGTTCAGAGATGGGAAGTTAAGAGCTTACATGGGTTCCATCATACTACTGTGCAGCAGAACTAGGCTGTTAACTGTCCTTGTGGCTTGCCTGCTCCTCCAGTAAGAAATGCATGCAAACCAGCAAATCTCAAGCCACCACAGCAGAGCTGCTGGTCAGGTGGAACACCCTGAGAACTTAAAGTTGCTTACAAGCTTCATAAGCTCAAGACACATCTCTTCTAGCTATGGTATGAGACCAAAATCCCAGTTAGTTTCTTCATACAGCATGTTCATTACTTGGGTATTTATAATTTCCCACAACATCTGCAATCATTATGGTTTTCCAGCTGCAGTCACAGACATTACAAAAGGGGATGAAGAGAAACTAGGCAACACAAAAGCCACAGAAAGTGCAATAGGAAGAGAAAATTATACTCTTTTTTACCTACAAAATGGTACCAAATAAACATATTTATAATCAAGAGCCACAAATCAACCCCTTCAACTCTGCACAAGAATGGCTTCTGTAGCCAAGGTGGTAGCATAAGTCTATATATTATTTATATAAATCCTAAAGGTGGTAGCATAAGTCTATACGTTATTTATATAAATCCTAAAGGTGGTAGCATAAGTCTATACGTTATTTATATAAATCCTAAAGGTGGTAGCATAAGTCTATACATTATTTATATAAATCCTAAATATCAGTGGAAATAAATAAATATAATTTAGCTCTCACCATAGTAGGAGTTCGACAACCCTGACCTACCTGGTGGCATACCAGGCATAAGAGGTGGTATTCCTGGCCCAGGAGGCATCATTCCACCCATCGGCATCATCCTATTAAACAGAAAATGAGCATTGGTATGAACACTCACGACAAACTCTTAAGACAACTGGCACATACCTGTATTAGATAAAAAAATTATGGTGAATAATTTCATGTTTAACAGAAAGAATTCAAAAGCAGCTGACCCCACAGTTAGAAACATTTTTCTACAAGAAAACAAAAGCAAGAAAATCCCCAAACATTTTTAATTTGAACTTTAATTCCTCAAACTTTCACTTCCACTATTACCAGATTTCCAGAACTGGTGTTTCTCTTGAAATCTACTTCAGGCTACTAGTTTCAGCAGAGTGTTCCAGTAACCTGATCTTGGTACACTCAAGAAAACCTGGAAGTAGGAAAAACAGCTAACTCAAATCACACTAAAAAACACTGTACATCTGCTATTCCTCCTTTCTGACACCACAAGTCTATCTGTGGTTATAGCACCCTCATACTATTTTAACACATTCTCCTTCCTCTAGTGAACGCCAGACAACCCAAACCTGGAAAACTATCCACAAAATACTGCTAAAAGCAGAGCAGAGACCACAGGCTAAGAAAGCTTCTGGAGTTTCAATCACATTAAATATTCCCCTATGCTAAGGATAGAAAAGTAGGCTTTTTCTTTTTTTCTTTTAATTTTTTTAATGAGAAGTCCTTATTATGGCATATTTTTCCTTTGTATTAGAACAAGTTTGGGTTGTATTTTTTCCTTGCTACTGATACCTGGAGAAAAAAAATTTGTGTTTCCTAACAGAAAGGTGTCATCTAAATAACTCCTTTTATCCTTCCCTACTAAACCACACTATAACATTAATACATGTTCCCCATCTAAACTATACACACAACCCTTAATATAAGCAAATTCCTCCTGCACAGGACTGCAACTCCATAAAAAGTAAGCTGTCTACAACACTAAGTGCTTTTCAACTGGGAAGCTATAGATGAGTATGTATGATTCCTTTACAGGGAACAAATCAAGTGTAGGTTAAGATTACTTAAATTTTTCCAGACATTGAAAGGTGGATTAGGGAAAAAAGAATAAAGGAATACTTATTACTTTAGTTAGCAAGATAAGCAGATACGTAGCAGCCACATGCACACCAAAACCCCACTAAGAAGCAGTTTCTATTTGTATGATAAAGTCAAGACACCTTCACCATTGCTGTTTCAAAATCAAAACAAATCATTGTGAACAGGCAAGCAGTCATTCTGCGAAGCAAACTGCCCAGTCTTACTCTTATTCTCAATTTGTCTACCACTGCTACAAAAGGTACAACCAGTGCAGAACCAGTAATGACTGGGACCAAAGTACCATTGCCCCTTTTTTGCATTAATGGTTGGAGAAGGTAAAGTCACTCAGAAATATCTGTTAGACCCCAAAAAAGTGCTGGATGCTCACTGCCTGCTGCCACCAGAAAGGTAACTCTCAACTGCAGGGATATAGGGGCACACTAAAAACAAGCAGCTTCCTAGGTCCTAATTCTTTGCTCATTTTTAAACAAAAGATCATCAGGTTAAGTATGAACCACAGATTAAACTATGTAAAAACACAATAGAACCACAGAATGGTTTGGGGTGGAAGGGACAAACTTAGAAGCAAAGTTCCTGCAGTATATCCTACAGTGAAAAGCACCTAGCACATTGAGCTGTACTCTGGTTCAAGAGAGGCTGTAAGTCCCTGAGGGTCTATTGCATTAATATTTTGTAGAATGCATTTCTCATAACATACAGTTTTGTAATCTTCATTTAGATAAAGCATAAGAACTTCAGATATTATACAATAACCAAACACATAACTAGACATTTTCCCCAAATTCTCAGACAACATTCAGAGGTTTTCAATAAAACAGTTTCAAGCTTATCAAAAACATGACATAAAATGGCATAATGAATGTACCTAGAATTACATTAATGAGATGCTTACATGTTTCCACCACAAAATGACTGCATGTATTTTCTCTGTTGATGTAATCTGTGAAAATTTATGACAAAATCAAAAATCTAACTGTGATTTTTCCAAACACATTGTGATAGGGTATGGTGTCAACCCCAAACAAGCACAAAAAACAACATCTTACTTTTGCCCAAAATATAAGAAAAAATTAAATTATCCAGTACTTTTTTCCTGTTAGGTTGGTGACTGATAATCAGATACACAACATATGTGCAATACACAAAGGAACATCAGTTCACAGAAGGCTCTAAACCAACACAATAAAACTTAAATTATTATACTACTACTCAATAAAGTTAGGAGAAAGGCAACCTACTTTATTTATAAACTCAACAGTTTAGCCATATTTTCAATGTTGGTTTACAGCCATCTAGTTCTTTGGTTAGTCTTACTACTACAGAGTTCACAGGTTCATACATACATTTTTCTAATTAGCTTTACTTTTTCTGTGACAGTTTAAAATGCACAACTGTATGAACATGTAATATTAAGTCTTTCTGGCTACTCACCCAGGTGGCATTCCAGGCATAACTGGAGGCATTCCAGGCATCATAGGTGGAACACCTGCCATTAACGGTGGTATACCTTAAAAGAAAAATAACTTTTAAACAACTCCAACAACACACATTTACTAACAAATCTCACCTAATAAATTTAGACCCAATAAGCACTTTACACGAAGCTCTGAAAGACTGACACTGCTTACAAACAACACAATATGAAAGATTATCTGCAAATCTGATTTAAGATTCATTGTTCTCAGTCCTGCAAGCCTTTGTACGTTTTCTTAGTAGTCTCCAAAGAACGTGCCTTATTAATACAGAAAAAATAACAAGATATCAGTTTTTGCTCACAGTCATTGACCAAAATTCTTTCCTCAATATATTTTTGGCCTGTGTCTAAACTGCCTATTCTGTTAGCAGTCTCTGAAACACGGCAGCCTTTCTGCCCTGCCTCCAAAATCTTGCTACAAAATACCACAAACACATTCTCAGCAGTAGCCTTATGTTTCAAGTACTAATCTGTTTTACTACCATATTAACATTCCTTCAATCTAGACACAAGCATTGGGTATCTTAATCTGTTTCACAAAGGAAGATGTGTGTGCACACACAGAACAGGAGAAGGAAAAAAAAAAAAGAAGTGAAGAAACTGCTTATGTGCACCTCACAAAACCATTCTGTGACCTCTTAACACCCAGTGTTAGGAAGGGCAGATTATTATTCCAGTATGCAATCAGCAATTTGTATTTCTACGCAGATTTTCAGAAACTATCTTAAAACACCACCTTACCTGGAGGCATACCTGGTGCACCTGGCACAGGAGGCAAACCTGGCTGTGCCATTGGGGGAATGTACCCCTGCTGTGGCTGAACTTGCTGGGGTTGAAATGAAGTTGAAGCTGCAGATTCATCATCTTCATACTCATCAGAATCATCCTGTTGCTTCTTTTTCTGGCTCTCTGCTGAAGAGTACAATGCATATGGTCACATGGAAGGCAAATTATATTCTATTAAATTAATTTTATCTGGGGTATTCTAGTTGGAACAAAAATAATAAAATTCAAATCTTATCAGCGTGGTAAAAATTTAGTAGAATTACTGAGAACAAAAACTACGTGATCGACCTACACATAAAAATAATAAAGGGAAGGAAAATGACTTACACTGTAATGACCCTCAACATAAATGGGAGTCTTCCTTCAGTTAGTCTCACGCTGTCCAGAATAAACCAAAGCAGCTCAAAAAAATGTATGCTCAAACAGCAAAGAAATCTAAGTATTTGAGCATCATCAGGCTGGTATCACACCTGGCCTTTCCTCCCCTTACCCTCAAAAATAAAATCACCATCCCCATATTCATTAGGTAATTGTTATAGCTGCACGGGCACACGGCTACTTCTGAACAGGTAAACATCTCTCAACCTTCTACGTGACTGGAAAAGAGAGAGCTGCAGGCAGAGAATGCAACACACCCAACCCCTTGCTCTTCTGAGAAGTGGGACCTGTATCACACAGCTCAGTATCAGTAAGAAACAGACTAGGAGAATAACAGATAACCAGTTAGATGAGATGATACTTTACCCTGAGTTTTTTGTTCAAGTAACCGCCTCCGTTCCTCCATATCTTTTTCTGGAATGCCCTCCATGCCATAGATTTCCAGTTCAATGTCTGTTCTTCCAGGAATAGCATTTGGAACAGCATCTATTGTTTCTTTATGTACCTAAAGAAAAAAAAAAAAATCCTCCTGACCACAATTCACGTTGGATTCTATGTGTTCTTCAGCCATTTTCAAGACAGAAAAGGAACATCCTTAACAGGGAAAGCCTCTCTGGCCAAGCATTTTCTCACTATGTGCTTTCTAATCACTGTTAACTACTATTAGCTTCTAAAGCACGTTTATATAAACTTGTTTTCTGAATCCCAAAACAATTCCTTCAGTCCTCCTACACCCCAAAAATGAGGGCAGAGATCTCCACTGCATCCTCTCCATATGACTGCTGACACAGCAGGACTCCTGCTCTGGAAACAGACCTTTGCTGTCTTTTTCTCATCAGTTTTTAAGACTCTGGAAGTCCCCAACCCCCCACCATTTTAAGATCACTATTAACTCCAACTTTAGATACTGTTAAGAAAAGTTTCTGTAAATCTAAAACTTCTTACCTGCATGCAATGTATAGCTAAACCAGGTCCTGTGTACAGTTTCTTATGACATATATGGCATTTAAAGTGCTTTGCTTTTTGATGCTGTATAAGGATTTTTTCATCATCAAAATCCCTGTTACAATACCTATTGAAGACTGTTAAGGAAACATTTAATCCTGAAAATGATCTTCTACATAACACTAAGCTAACTGGCATCATTGTGACTTTTCCTAAAGCAAAAAGAAGCACAGGAAGCATCTCTGAGCATTCAAAGCATGACAAATATTTCACAGATACCTGAAACCAAACCTCCCCCTCATATGATCCAGCATCTCCCTTTCTAAATAGGTACAAAATCGGCAAGATGCACATGCCATCAGAATTTTTATTCCATATTCTTTGACACACAATTTTTGAGTCCTAGTTATTTCTAAGTGAACTCATTCCTTCCATGCATACATGTAGATTAAAATAAAGTTGCTAAAACATTAAAGGAGAAATAAGCTTGAAATCCACAAAAGGGAAGTGATGTTAAATACTCAGAAATGCCTATTTAGTAACAAGTATCAGTAGCTAACACTTATAAAAATAGAGAACAAAGGTTTTAGTTAAAAATTCCTTTCCTTTTTCAGTCACCCATCAATTCTTAGGACACCAGATAATTTACAGTGGTTATTAAAGAATCCTTGTTTTGAACCAGAAATATTTTAAGTTAAGAGCTCTCTGGACATCTGTGTGACAGAAGAGGGAAACTGCAGTTTCCTTTCTACAAGTCAGCATTAGTATTTCAGGAAACACTCCAAACATATCACACAGAATCTTGTCTTCCTAAGCAAGACAAATACAAAGTATTTATTAGGTGTTCCTTGTTAATAAAATATACCCCTCACTTCCACCAAAACCTGAAATATATTTATACCTAACACAGAAGCACAGGTACTTTCTAACATAAAAAGGTAAGTTATCTCAGAGCAGCTTATAAATTCCTTTATTAAACAATTTTAGATTGGGCGGAAACATCTTAGAGAGAGAAAAGGTAAAGCTGTAGTCATCCCCCAATGTGATCAAAGAAAAATCCACTAGTATTTCTGGACAATGAGAAATTATACGTGACTTTAATGCAACAATTTAAAAGCTCCCTCACCCCCCCCCC